CTGAACCTGATCTAAACTGGGTTGTATGTGTTTGGTTTTGACATCTCTAAATTCCTACTTCTCGCTCTCTCTCTCTTTCTCACACACACACACACACACACGTATTGTGTTTGCAGCAGACAGACAGCAGTGTGGTGTGTGCAGTTCATTAATGATTACTCCAGCACGGCTGACTTTGCACTCAACAGGAAGCCAAAGGCATGAGCAGGATCCTGAGCCAGATATAGAGATGGCAGCTGCTCACATCTCACATCTGCCAAATCATTCTGGGTAGAGCTCAAAGGTGACTTCAGCACGGCCCGTCCTCGATGCACACACGTGAACAATCCCTTACAGCACACTTTTAATAATATAGGGAAAGACCTTTATGTGTCACAAAAGCACACAGATCAATCATGCAAGAACATTAAAGACCAATATTTCTTGCAATAAATCTATTATTCTAAGTTGTTGAGATCTGAGGAAGCAGATCCAGGATGATGCTGCATTGTGCAATTCAATTCTCAACCAAGCAGCTTTTGAAAGACTGCTTTCAATAAATGTAGATGCACATCTGGAACATATTGTTAATAATACTTACCTGCTATAAGTTTCACAATCTGTCCAAAAGCATTCATCTTTGTAAAGTCCCACGTCTTTAGAATAACTCTTTAAATAATCAAACGTCAGACTTTTCCGACACCAGTTCTTTTCAGTGTCATAACAACTGCAAACTTTGTCCAAAGCTGCAGTCATTCCATAACTGGGGAAAAGATGAGTACAGCAATGAATGTTTGTTTGATGGAGACTTTACAGCCACATGTGCATGTACTTCATAAGACACTCCCTCAGTGCTACTGCAAAAAGAACCACAGAACACATTTTACACACTCTGGCAGAACATTTTATTTAATACTTGAGAGTAAAATGTATATGAATGCATAAGGGAAATTGTAAGTCTTGCGTCCTATAACTGGTCATCTGTTTTCCATCAATTTGAAGTAAATGTTTTAAATATTCCATGCAATCTTTTATTTATCATTATGTCATATAAACTGGATGTATAATAATTATAATAGAATTAAAACAATAAAACATGTTAACTTTATGGAGACCCAAAAGGGACATGTTGACAGAAAATAAAAAGGAGATGAAAAGGAAAAAATGATCTCTGGCAAAGTATTGCATTCCCCCAAGAAACGTCTCAGTGTTACAGATATAGCATGGTTGCCTAAGAAGGGAAGGAGATGCTGCGTCCTGGTGTTAGCGCTATGGGAACGTGTCAGGAGTTTGTGTGAATACATGCCAATTTCATTGGCTGACGGCAGTCATATGTCATCAAGACCATAAACGGGCACCTACTTCATGGAGTCCCCAGATTCTAACTGTGGTACAGGCATGCCTGCAACACCCATAACCTCACTGATAGAGAGAACCGCCACTCCGAATGGTCTCCGTGACCTTGGTCGAGAGACCAGATTTCGTGAGATCAGGGGCAGAAACCATCAGGATCTCAACTGGTTGGTGGCAGAACCAAGCTCTGCCCACACAAGGAGATTTTCCAAATGAGAAAAAACCCCATGGAAGCTGTCCAGTGAGAAATACGGTCTGAGCCATCTTGGGTCTCAAATAAAGCAGGGCCATAGGCTCTTAGAAGCAGACGTAGCCTCGGCCACATCTGCACTATGACATCCAACCTTAAAGGGATAGTTCATCCAAAAATGAAAATGTGATGTTTATCTGCTTACCCCCAGGGCATCCAAGATGTAGGTGACTTTGTTTCTTCAGTAGAACACATTTGATGATTTTTAACTCCAGCCGTTGCAGTCTATCAGTCGTATAATGCATGGCAATGGTAACAAAATCTATGAGAGTAAAAAAAACATGCACAGACAAATCCAAATTAAACCCTGCAGCTCGTGACGATACATTGATGTGTAAATTTCTTGTCTTAGGACATCAATGTGTCGTCACGAGCCGCAGGGTTTAATTTGGATTTGTCTGTGAATGTTTTTTTTACAAGCATCGATTTTGTTACCATTGCCATGCATTATACGACAGATAGACTGCAACGGTTGGACTTAAAAATCAAAGTTTGTGTTCTACTGAAGAAACAAAGTCACCTACATCTTGGATGCCCTGGGGGTAAGCAGATAAACATCAAATTTTCATTTTTGGATGAACTATCCCTTTAATGTACTGGGGATACGAGGGCAGACAGATGGGACCGTGGGCTGACTAAAGCGACCAAGTCTAGTCACTCTGCCATACCTCCGCCAACTGAAGTTAGTACTATTTTTTTTTACCATCACCATGTCTGTACAACTGTCCCTAATCACATGCTTATTTTATATTCTAATAATCTAAATTTGTCAGTTGATTTGATCAGTCCATTGAGGGATAATGTAGCCCAGGGTTCCTCAACTTTCCTGCAGAGTTTCGCTCCAACCCTAATCAAACACACCTGAACAAGCTCAAGGTCTTCAGGATCACTAGAAAGTTGCAGGTTGGTGTGTTTAATCCAGGCTGGAGCTAATCTCTGCAGGAAAGTGGATCTAGAGGTCCAGAGTTGAGGACCCGTGATGTAGCGAACTGAAATTCCGGTTTGTTAGTGCAAAAAAAAAAAAAAGAAAGGAGCTGCTGGGAAAAAGACCACACATTTTGATATCACATAATCCCAAATATGCCTTCTTGCATCAAAATGAGCAAAGAGATATGACGTCATTTATTATCATTCATTATTCCATTTACCACACAGTAGCACAGGCACGTTTTATTAAAGCATAAACAATATCTTAATATTCCCTTTGAATAAAAAAAGTGACTTACAACTTCGTGACGAGGATAACGCTATTCTACATTCTCAAAAATGTGGTTACATCACTGCAAACAGGGATTGTTTTTCATCATGAAAGCGTGACATGAAAAACATGAACATCTAGGCCTGGGATGCACATGACAATTTCATAATTAATCTGTTTTCTCTGACGATGACGCCAGTCTCTGGCCGTATTCCCCAGCCTTGCAATCAGACATCAGTACATCAGAGCTGTTCTCAACATCCATAAAACAAACCATATGACTGCGGATGCCACTTAACAGAAAAGAAGCTATAAGTCATGTCACAAATGACAGTAAAGTAAAGAAGTAAAGCAGTGCTCTGAAGGAAATTTTAAGGCAGGGTTCTATGCACAGATATGATTATGTATATTTATTGTGAATGATTCTCAATGATTTGATTATTAAATGCAAAACAAATCTGAGCACTATACAGACTTTGGTCACTTTTTCATAATCTGTTAGCAAACAATCAAATGGGAAAGTAACATTGCAAAATACAACAAAGAAGTATAAGTCATATGCTTTTTCCTCAAAACAAAATCTGCTTAAAATGCTTCAGATATTAACTTGACCAGATTAAATTGTAATACTTTAAATGACTTCAATACATTATGTGTTATGTGTAAACATTCACGTTACACCAAATATGCTTATAAAAGCCAAAAGATGACTGAAAATTCAAGAAAAACACAAGGCAGAAATTAAAGTTGTTTTAATAGCTGCATATATTTTGACTAAAGTTTGAAGGAAAAAAACCCCTGAAAACTGAGCTAATTTTTTATGCTCCTCAGAGACCTGCAATATTCCTCAAAACACTGTCAGTTTATGTTGTACATATTTGCAGTGAGTGTACGGCTCTGACTGGTTCCAGAGCTGTACGGGAAAATGAAGAGAAAAAAAAATCGAACAGCTATCAAACTGTTGCAGAGACATTAGGTACTTGAAGGTACGCTGAAGTTAGTGGAATTAAAAATTAAAGCTACACTTGTAGACTAGTTTAACCATAGCCAGTGTTGGGGGTAACGCAGTACAAGTAACACGAGTTACGTAATCAGATTACTTTTTTTCAAGTAACTAGTAAAGTAACGCATTACTTTTTAATTTACAAGAGAATATCGGAGTTACTTTTTCAAATAAGTAACGCAAGTTACTTTTTTTTTTCAAATTTATTGACTGACAGCTCTCCTGTCCCCATGCTGAGAGAAATCAGAAGATGTTACTGTAGTTCTAAAATAAATATGAATATGCATTAATTCATCTCACTCACAAAAAAAAAAAACACACAGATTCAGTATTCCTCAAAATGAATAAAAATAATGCAACTCAGAATATGACGCAAACCTGCAATAATTAAACGTTAAACAACACAAATATGCTTTATGTATTTAATCCTATTCTATTAATCAATGTCTTTGCTTCTGAGCTTCGATGATCCAGTTCAACCGTACTAATAAGCACAAATTACTCTAGACAAACATTTGTGTGTCTTTTTTTATTGCTGAAGTGTGTTGAAATGTCTTCTTCTGCACTCTACTGTACGGACGTACATGTACTTTCCCTTCAGCCTGAGGCTTATTCATTTCACTTTTGGTGTGAAAAGGCTTTTATATTTGCCAAAAATAGAACTTTTTTATTTAAAAAACAAACAAGCAAGCCCTGTCCAGATTTAAAAAGTAACTCAAAAGTAACGTAACGCATTACTTTCCATAAAAAGTAACTAAGTAACGTATTTAGTTACTTTTTTATGGAGTAACGCAATGCATTACTTTTAAAAGTAAGTTTCCCCAACACTGACCATAGCTGCATGATGTTTTCTTAGACTGACCGGATCGGCTGCATCTCCTCACCGTCTCCTCTCATCCAGTTAAGGCACAACCCTTCCTGAACTGCAGCGTAACACATCTCACGGTGTGATGTGCAGCATGTGAATCTTGTCTTTTCTCAGGACAGTTCTGTAGATTTTTCTACGCATCAGTAAAATTTAAGATAAGCTATATTATTTAAAATGTGTGTCACTGCACCATTAAAATGAGCCTTTTAGAACTTTATTTTAGTAAACAAAACAAAAAAAATCTGCAAAATAATTGCAAAAATCTCCCTTTTTTTGCACATGGTGACATGAAGAAACAAAATGATGTCAAAAAATAACAAGTTTAGAGATTTTTTTTTTACACTAAACCCTTGGATTTTTACAAAAAAAACATATTTCTTAAAATTTCACTAAAGTTCTTTTATGATGGCACTTATCAAACACTCATTAGGCTAAAACAATCTAGAATCTATCAGCAGGCTTTTGAACCTTGGAACTATTTTACATCTTTTTTAGGAATTTAAAATGATAATACAGGTCTGTCATAGAGTGAGGACACAGAAATAAGGCTTTGTTTAAGCTTACAATGACCACAAATACTATCCATGTGTAGAGGAGGCATGATCTTTTCAAGGCTACAGCCATGTTGATACACACTGTCCTTCATATGATACTTCATGCACGTCCCGTAACGCTCTCTGATAGCAGAAGTTGAGCAGGGGTGAGGAATTTGTACCAGATTCTCCAAAAATACGGCAAAGGCTTAACACTTGTGCTTCATGGCAAGCTGAAGAGAGAGAGAGAGAGACTGTTAATCATCAAACTGCTAATCCACTGTACAAACACAGCACAAAATGTCTAAAAAACATCGCTACATAATCTCCTGTCCCTTGCATGCTTGTCAACTACGTTTCAAAAGTATTTTATAAAATACTTTTAATACTTTTCAATACTTTTATTCAACAAGGATGCATTTAATTGATCAAAAGTGACAGTAAAAACATATTAATGTTAACATTACATTACAATTAAAACATTATAATGTTATGCTTTCAATGTTATATTATTTATAATGTCCTGGAAAAAAAATTTTTTTTAGGTTTTCACAAAAATATTAATCTGCACATCTGTTTTCAACACTGATAATAATCAGAAATGTTTCTTGAGCAGCACATCAGAATATTAGAATGATTTCTGAAGATCATGTGACACTGAAGACTGGAGTAATGATGCTGAAAATATAACTTTGATCACAGAAATAAATTACAGTTTAACAGAGATTCACAAAGAAAATAGTTATTTAACACTATAATAACATTTCACAATATTACTGTTTTTACTGTATTTATGAGCAAATAAATACAGCCTTGGTGAGCAGAAAAGACTTTAAAAACATAAAAAAAAAATATTCAAAAACATTTTAAAAAATCCTACTGAGCCCAAAGTGTTGAACAAGGTGTCTCTTTCATGCAGTCGCCACATGAAGGCAGCAGAGCAACACAAATGCTTTTTCACTGGAGTAAAATCTGCAGAAACTGGCAAACAGTAAAGACAGACATGCGGCACGCTTTACCTTGTGTGCAGTGTCGGCAAAATGCTGGGCGCTGTTCATCATCTCGCCCGTCTTCTCCTCCACGCGTCCCAGTCTCTCGCCGCGCTCGTTCAGCGCCTGACTGGCCTTCTGCACCGCGCTGCTCACACTGTCTGCTGCCTCGTGCAGGATGCTGTTACCTACACACACACACACACACAGAGAGAGAGAGACGGCGTGAGGAAAGCACCTCCACACAATGCCTTGTGAAAAAGAAGTACACTTATTACGGAAATAATATACTTAAATATACTTAAGTGTGAACTGAAAGCAATTTTTTTTGGAGGCTTAACTGCATGTTATTTACAATTAAATGAAAATGTATTATAGTTTACATTTATATTAAATGTACTGAGTTGAACTTTAGAGTGCTTTTTGATCCACTTAAGTAGGACTTTAATATTTCATAATTACACCCATTGTCTTTGAAATATGGTTAAAGTTACTGCTGAATGAACTGACAAGCATTTATGGCAAACTAAAAATATAATTTAATGGCATTTCTATTGAAACCTTTATGTATTTAACTATATTCATAATTACACGAAGTTGCTTTGATGAAGTTAATGTAGTTGCCACTTTAGTACATTTAAAATATATTAACTTTAAATGCAATATCGAATAACACACTATAGCTAAAGTTAGTATGTTAGTCAACACCAATAAAACATGGCTTGAAATGTACTTTAAAGTAAAACTTTTAATTTGGCAATTATGACAAAGTGCACTTTTTAAAAGTGTACTTAAGTGTGTTAAGAAACAGTCATGGGACTGTCTCTCTGTAAACACTTTAAAGCTTAAGTGGCCTTTTATTTCATTGAAATTATGAAATCTTTAATATCTGCAAAAAACTTTTTTAAATATACTTTTTAAGATTTTAAGTACAGTACAGGTGCACTTAACATTACAGAGATAGACACAAATCGGTGCATTACCACTGACAAATGCAGTAGGCAGTCACTTTTACTGACAAAATATCAATCTTGAGAGCTTTCAAGAGAGCTACAGCACAATGTCAAGCTAAAAATCACGCAGACAGAAATGATCCTGAAAATCACATCATAATGGTGGAAAAATCATGGTGGCACAAGATTTTCCATTACAAGATGTGCTGAACTGTTCAAATGCCCATTTGAGCACAACATGTCATTTATTCCATCCAGCGTCTGTCCATGGCGTTTTGAGAATGAAGCTGATCCAGCAGTGACAGGAATCCCCACGGTTTGCGTCCCACACCTGAGCAGCTTCATGCTATTTGTTTTGCACGGGTGTGAGACTTAGACCGGAGGGGCCAGAGAGACTCGGTCTTCTTCAGCCGCACATGAGCGATCTCCTCGCTTTCACAACCTTATTAACCTTATCATTAACTACTGAGTGACGAGTGTTGACATATGCTAAAACTGTTGTCATATGCCCATGCATTAATATGTTGTAGGATCATGTGACCGATCATTTAAAGTGTTACATTTCAACTTTGAAATGACTTCATAAACCATAAAAACATGTTCATTGCTTGGAATAAAATAAACATGAACTTAAAAAAAAAAAATTTAATTAAACATTTTATTTCAAATTTTTAAACATTAATAAATACATTTTTGTTTCCCCACAGAGCCTTTCAACGATCCGTTCTTAAAAGAATGATTTTTGCTTCTTAGTGTAAAGAACATTTGAATAATCTAAAGAATGTTTTCCCACTATAAAGAACCTTTTGTTCAATGGAAAAGTTCCATGGATGTTAAAGGTTAGGAAATAAAATCCTTGTAAGAAATGATTGAAAATATGAGCTAGATTGTGACTAACAACCATTATATACCATTTTAAGCATTATATCTCTTTAAGCTCACAATCAGGTGTATTCATGTTTGCTCAGCGTCACGGAGTCCTGCCAGGCAACAGAACCAGGCATCTGACCCGCAGGAACCGAGACTCTACTTCCCACAATAACACAGTCCGCCCTGTCGCTGAGTCAGACTGCCACTAAAAGAATAAAGACAAGCAACACTAAAAGCTGTTATTTATTAAGTGGGAGGAATAAGTGGCAGCTGGGACGAGAAGGAGGGAGCTTCTTCCCCCAGGATACAGTTAAAATAGCATCAGCACCTTCCTCGACATACCAACACTTTAATTGTAGCATACAAACGTGAACTGTCTGCGCTCGCATCGGTGCTGCTGCAATGCAGAGCATGTTCTGATTAAACAAATATGTGAATAATCTACAGATATAACTCACATCAATGCCCGTGCCTTAAAAAAAGTTTTTTTACAAAGAGAGCGGCAGAAGAAAAAAACAGGTGCAATCCTGTATAGCACCTAATGTAAACTAATTTATTTAAAGGTCCCATATTGTCAAAACAAACAAAAAAAAATGTCCTGGCTTTTTTCATGATAACTGAGGTCTAGGTGCTATGTAACTACCATATAAGTTTTTTGGTACTTATACCGCAAATATATATTCTTAAGGACATCAAAACCTCAAATAAAACTCCAGAAAGCTGTAAAATATGGGACCTTTAAAGCTATTATTATTAGCTACTTAAAATGAGAATCTTTTGGCATTTTAAATTGATTACTGACTAACACAACTGATTATTTAAAAGTCATATGTAAAGATTAATGTAGTTGCATAAGCAGGGTTGCATTCAGAAAATTAATGTATTGTTACACCTCTAAATTACATCCAATAATATGTCAACAAATAGAAAGTATCTGAAATAAAGTGAGTATGAGGGTAATTATAGTAAAAGAAAAGCCTCCATTAATCATGTCCTTAGGATATAAGCTATAAACATCAAAGACACAGAAAACTAAAAGTAACTTTTCATGATTAGAGGAACTACACAAAGTTGCTGTCCTGCAGACAATACAGTGGAATAATAAAGAACTTTACACAAACAGTTTGCTCGCAACTAGGAAAAATATTATATGAGTGGTTTTATTTCGCAATATGTTACCAAAATTTCCGACCTTTAATATAGCTTGAAAACCAGATTTATATGATTACATTATTTTCTAGCAATAATCGAACATCAAAACAAGAAAACAGAAAGCAACATTTTTAAAAGTTATGTTTTTGTTACTACAGTATAGTAGTGCAATAATAGTACAATAAGCCACTATATAAAATTATGAGCCAAATGCATATAATAGACCTTCATTCATTCATTCGTGTGAATGGGATATTTTTTTTAGGTATTATCAAAAATATACTACAAAGTAAATTGCACATATAACGTCTTTGACAACAACAATAATTTAATCCTTCTTCCTTCAAAACATGTTGTGCCCCATTATTTAAAAAAAACAAAACATGTAGTGTATAGTGAAAGAGAGGGTGCACGGTAAGCTTGAACGGGACCGTCTCACCTCCCAGCAGTTTGGAGGGGCAGTTGATGAACTCTGGTTTTCTTTCGGGGATGAACCGCTGACATGTGTGATGCAGGACCTGGACAAACACACACTTCTCTCCAGCTGAACCCGCAGTCCACTGGTCGGATCCGTTCTCAAATATCAAGTCAAACTCTGGGCAATCCTGAACATTTTAGGATGACGAGAAGCAGTCAAAGATTAATGCCATCCAACAGAACACAGCATCTGAAGGAGCAAGAGCCCATCTACTCACTCGGACGGAGTCGATGCCGTTGACCTGCCGCAGCTGACTGATGGACCACTGTGATCTCCTGACGAAAGACGAGGAGCCTTCAAACTGCTTCACCTTCGTGAGGAAAACCTGTGCTGGTTTCTTATTGGTCACTGAAACGAAAAGGAAAATAGGTTTAAAATACTGGTTTGAAATAATTACTGTGAATATACTGTAAAAGCTGAATTTTCAGCATCATTACTCCAGTCTTCAGTGTCACACGATTCTTCAGAAATCATTCTAATATGCTGATTTGCTGCTCAAGAAACATTTCTCACTATTAGCAATGTTGTGCTGTTTAATATTTTTGTGGAAATAATGAAATACTATCATTCAAAAGTTTGGGGTAAGTACAATTTAAAAAATATATATATATAATAATGTAATGTTTTTATTCAGCAAGGACACTTGCTTAATTTGATTAAATGTGAGAGTAAAGACATTTATATTGTTTATAACATTGAACTGTTTTTAACAATGATAATAATAAGAACCATTGTTAATAAGTGAGCACTAATAATTGACAATAACTGAGCATCAGCATATTAGAATGATTTCTGAAAGATCATGTGACATTGAAGACTGGTGTAATGATGCTGAAAATACAGCTTTGCATCACAGAAATAAATTACAGTTTACAAAATATTCACATAGAAAACAGTTATTTGAAATTGTAATAATATTTCAAAATATTACTGTTTTTACTGTATTTTTCATCAAATAAAAGCCTTGGTAAGCATAAACTATTTTTTTCCAAGACATTAAAAAAACATTTTTAAAAAAAATCACACTTATTCAAAACTTTTAACCAGTAGTCTGTATACACATTTTTCAACATAATAAACAAACAATACTCTGGATGTCATCTGGGTTACAGTGGTGTGGTGGTACTGTAATATGAAGCTCTATCAGCCCGTATCAAAGAGCAGTGTTTACAGATCCCACCACACCCGGCTCTGTTGGAGCGAGAACATTCGGCCCACGGCGCACTGTTTGAGGAATTTCTGATCCTCGGTTGTTTGTTCAGGCCTCTGTGTACAACACTCCCTTTTCCCCCCTCTCACTCCCTCCATCTGTGAGGTCACTGGTGTCAGGGTCTCTGATCCATCGCCCTGCGACGTTTGAGATCATTCTGATCTGGTGCTTCATGAAACTCAACACTGCACAGTAGTTCAGGGGTGTGTGTCTGTAGAAATATCTGGATGCACTCAATATCTCGAATAATCTATTGTGCAATAATGTTAACTCTCCAAAGAGCCGTGCTTTTTTAAGGTGAATGTTACTGTAGCATAGTTGCACAAATACAAAGTGCCCTATCTGTTATTAAATCATCAAGAAGAAACAAACAAAAACTCTGGCAACGTATGCACAATATAAATTGCAATATGCATCATATCGTGACTGAGGTATCATGATTCATCTATTGTTAGTGGCACATCCCTAGAAAACAAGAAAACGAAACTCTATAGACTGACAATATGAGTCCGTCCAAGTTAATGATGCCCAGACTAACAAATGCAGAGGTGATTCTACAATCGCATTTCATCACAATCACTGGACACAATGCAATGAGACGTTCACTACTGCATATGATGTCCAACACCTTTTGTAAATATGACTTATGAATCCACCTCTATACAGATTCAACATGCTTATGCTTTTGCTTATGCAAAGAGAGAATAAAGCCATGATGATGAATATACAGTATATGATGACAGACTTTCCTTTTTGGGTGAACTTTTGCTTTAAATAGATAAACTGGACAAAAATGGCACCAAATATATACAGTAGTGTGCATAGGCAAAGACAAAACACATAAGATGAGATTGTTCAATTAATTAGAATGAGGTTTTCCCCTTCATTTTATAAAAATAATGCTGCGACCAAAATACCAGCTGATGTTCAAGCTGTTGTGCGCCACTGTTAAAGTAAGTGAAATGTTAAAGTAAGTGAAATGTTAAAGTAAGTGAAATGTTAAAGTAAGTGAAATGTTAAAGTAAGTGAAATGTTAAAGTAAGTGAAATGTTAAAGTAAGAGAGTGTCTGTACAGAAATAATGCACACGACTAACCAGAGTGCCTTTTCATTTCTCTCTTAGTGAATAGATCTTTAATTTGTGATGCTTTTAATTCTTGGTGTCAACAGGCCTTTAGAAAGCGAAACATTCTACTCGGCAGTAGATGCTTTCCAGAAGGCTACTATTAAATGCTTTTCAGTGGGTTTCCCCCTCAACGAACCCAAAATGTGTTTTAAAACTCCCCAGGGCTCTTTTGATACCTAGAGCCATGTGATCATGCACGCTGAGTGCCCCATTATGAAGCAGACTCACTCTGTGGGCTTGGAATGATGCTCTGGGTGTGTTTTAGACTCGCTCTGAACGGAAACAGAAAGGGCACGCTGGGGCTCCTGGGGCCCATTCTTCGTACCTCGCTTAACACAACTGAGATGATTTGAAAGATATCAGATCTTCTAATCCTGATAACTGATCTCTGGCTAATTTGGTTCTTCAAACGAATTTGCGGATTTGATTAAAATATCTGGATTAAGTTGTCTAAGATTACTGCGCATTCTCGTGTTCCCCGTAAAGGGCAGATGTATCGATACTCGAAACCACGATCAGCAATGCAGCGATTGGCTGGCGGCGAGACAGCAACGTAATGACATCATATAATTAAAAACGCCACCTGACGAAAAACTTAACAAATTTCTGAACCTTTATAAGGAAACAGCCAAGCGAACAAAACTACATGAATGTTATAATAGATAAATGAAATGTGCACGGTTTATATTTTATTTGAATTCTTTACATGATTTCTAATTAGGCTATTTATATTCACGATTTCTAATATTTGTACAGGCTTTACATTTTTATTTCAATGTTGTAATGAGCAATTCATTTAATTTTCTCTTTGAAACAGATTTGTTATGTGACAGCATTAATTAAAGTTTCTTAAGGGTC